GGGGGACCCCAGAGGTCATAAAGCCAGGCCTCCCCTTCCTCCCCTCCCCCCCCAAAAAAAAAGCAGGGCTGGCTGGGGGGCACCCCCGTCCCTCTGAGTCGGCCCCATCCCCACATGTAGGGCGGAAGAAAGCCGCCCAGAAGGGAAGTGACAGGCCCGGGAACAGCAGATTCCTCCCCCCGCCCCCAAAGATGCAAAGCTGCCCTCTTTCCTGGCAGGATCGCCCAAGATCTAAGCCAGCCCCGTTTTAGCCTTTTGATCCCACCCGATCTCCCAGGAAGGTGGGCCGGAGTGGGGGTGGGGGGTGGTGGTCTTGTAAGGCGGGCATTGCCAGGCCTGCCCCACTGATCAAGGTCTCTCTCTCTCTTTCTCTAGGGTTCCTCCCTCGGGACTAGCCGCTTAAAAATAGGGGTTTTCCTTCCCCTAGAGCTAGGGAGAAAAGGCGGAGGAGAAAGAGGAGGAGGAAGAGGGGAAGGGGCGACTCCCCCTCCCTCCTAGCTAACCCTTCTTTTCCCCCACCCCCCCAATAGATTAAGGCTTCACCCCAAAAGTACTCTCAGGCAGGGGGGAAAGGGGGGGGTACTCTAACGTTACTCACCGCTCTGCCTCCGCTTTCCGATCCGGCGGGGGGAAGCAGGGGGTCCCCTGGCTGGGCTTATTCCATGCAACGGGGGGCTCGGGGGTTGTTGGGGGGGGCGACCCCCTGATCTGGGATCGAGGCGATCCCGAGGGCCGGGGAGATCCACAAGGGCTGGGGAGAGGGGGGGGGGAATCAGCCAAGGGAGCGCCGGACAGGGGAAGAAGGGAACGAGGAGGGGGGGGGAGGCGGAGAAAGGGAAACAATGTAGCCGCCGCGAACGTTCCAATTTCGAACGTTGCCGGCTTTCGCTTTGGAACGTTGGCGCCGCCAAGGTTCCGAGCGGCTCTAATCGCGGGCGGGCGAGGCGAAGCGAAGGCGGCGGGATCCGGGGCGAGAGGCGTCTGCAGCGGCGGCGATGATCTCTTGTCTTCCCGTCTGTCTTCCGACCCAGCCCCGCCGCTCGGGATCGCGCCAGGCCTGGTGCTCGCTGACTTCCAGGGAACCCGAGCAGCCCGCCCGCAGCCCTACGGCGCCTGCGCGGCCGAAGCTGGGCCCGACCTCGCTTGGCTGCCTTAGCTTCCCCCGCCTCTCGGCCCGGCTCCGCCCAGCAGCGGCGGCGACGAGGAGCTGGGCGAAGGGAGGGCGCCCCCTTCTGGTTAGAGCCTGCTTTGTGCTATAGCCTCCCCTCTCTCTCTCTCTCTCTCTCTCTCTCTCTCTCTCTCTCTCTCTCTCTCTCTCTCAATATCTTTCTNCTCTGCTGCTTATAAATGCACTTAACTCGAGCTTTACATTCTTCTTCTGGATTTCGTTTATTCAATACTGCAAATAGGAATGACCATTTCAAATTATCAAAGGCTTTTTTTCTGATCTAAAAGAAATATTGCTGTTTTTTTCACTTCTTGTAGATCTTTTCTTTTCCTTTTATTATAAATCTATCTCTGTCCTTGGTATAATCTGCTTAATCTATCTGTATTACCTGGAATACAATTCTGTAAACCTTCAGCTATTAGTATAGTAAACATTTTGTAATCAACATTTGATACAGAGATTGATTTTTATGTGACTTGAGTTTTTTCAGATGATTGTTGTCCTATAAATCAAAGATACATATGCTTCTTTTTATTTCTTTTGTCTCTATTATTTCATTTTGGTTTAATCTTCCCCAACACAATTCCACGAGGAAATTGTGAAGAGCAGGATGAACAAAGAGGATTGAAGCCTGAGAGTTACACAAACATGGTTAAGGAAAATCTGTTTACTTTGAATGAGTTTAAACTTCAGGGACTGATAAATAGTATTTTAGGGTAGTGAAATAGCTGGCTGATGTATAGTTGAACTATTACATATTGCATTTAAGAAACCCAGGAGAACAGATGGATTTAAGTTACCAGAAGGCAGATTTTGTTTGAATTTTAAGAGCAAAATTCTGACAATGACAGCAGTTCAGCAATGAAACCAATTATTCAGAGAGGTGGTGGGCTTCCTGTCACTAGATACATTCATACAGAGGGTGGACAACAATCTGTTCTGGATGGTTTAATTAGGATTCCCAGGGGGAGAGACAGGGTTGATATGACAGCCTAAAAAGAATCCACTCCCATTCTACATTTTATAATTCTATTGCTTGATGAACAATAATAGAATTAATTCTTGGAAGAAGGCGGGGCTTAGCAGTGAGAAGATGGAGTTTTAGGCNCAGTGAGAATAGGAGATGAATATTGCATGTATTTTGAGGAGATGGAGTTTCTCATTTTTCCTACAATTCAGTAGCACAAATAATCCATTGGAATTTGTGCAAAAATTATAATATTAAAACAGCAACAAACTGGTGGGAACATGGCTTCCATAGTCTCTGGTGAGCCTGGTGCTTCTACCGCTCAGCTCAGTAGTTGCTGCCGTTTTCTGTAAAATGGGATTAAGCAAGCGCAGGGAAAAACCGGCCAATCAGCTCCATCAAAGACCCATCTCTCTTCTCCGTCCTCAGTGGTTTCCATCGAGGATCCCTTCGACCAAGATGACTGGCCAGCCTGGAAGAAGTTCACGGCCGAGGCTGGCATCCAGGTGGTGGGCGACGATCTGACGGTGACCAACCCCAAACGCATCAGCAAAGCTGTGCAGGAGAAGTCGTGCAATTGTCTTCTTCTCAAAGTCAACCAGATCGGCTCCGTCACCGAGTCGCTGCAAGCGTAAGTCTTCCCGTCCGGAGGGAAGCGGGGAGGCAGAGGCGGGATCTTGCAAATCTCGAGAGATTTCGGAGGGGGGGGGGAAGGGGTTTATAATTGACAACGCAGATTGTCCTCAACTTACAGCAGTTTGTTCAGTGACCACTCAAGGAAGGGAGGGGGTGTCAAACTCAATTTCATTGAGGGCTGAATCAGGGTTGTGTTTGACCTCGTGCGGGGGGGGAGTGGCCAGGGTGGGCGTGGCCAGGTTGACGTCACTTTTGGGACACTTGTGGTGACACCAGCGCATCCGCCAGCGGAAACAGTTTCCCGAGCTCCGTTTTCGGCTGGGACATCTTCCTGTGACCCTCTGCCGGCGTAAAATGGGACAAAACTCACTTAACAAACGACTCGGGGATTTTGGGCTCAATTGTGCTCGTAACTTGAGGACTACCTGTAGTAGCTTCTGCATCTCTGGGTTTACAAGTTGCCCTCAACTTAATGGCCATGGTCTGGATCAGAATTTCCGTTACTAAGCAAGGCAGTTGTTAAATGAGGTACGCCTGATTTTAAACCTGGGCCCTTTTTGCCATGATCAAGCAAGCCCCTGCAGTTGTTAAGTGGGTCAGACGGTCGTTAAAACGAATCCAGCTTTCACCCGTTGACTTTGCTTGTGGGATGCTGAAGATTGCAAGTGCTGTAACTTGGAACAGTCGCTGTGGGTTGTAAGTTGAGGACTACCTGAATTTTTAAAAAAAGACCCAAGAGGACAAAATGGCATCAAATTCAAAGTCGGGGAAAAATAACCAGTCTCTGGTTGGGTCTTTGTTTCCTGGTTTAAAAAATTACCCTGTGGTCTCCTTTCTCTCCTTTTTTTTTTTTAGTTGCAAGCTGGCCCAGTCCAACGGATGGGGGGTGATGGTGAGCCATCGTTCCGGAGAGACGGAAGATACCTTCATTGCGGACTTAGTGGTTGGTCTGTGCACCGGACAGGTGAGGCTTTACCTGCCCCGAAGTTCGCGGGAAGGATGTTGGAGTCGTGCATAGGCCTTAAAGGTTGCACGGAGAGAGGAAGAGCTGGAGGGAAATACCGGAAGGAACTTGAGAAGGCCGGGCAGTATTGTTTCATGTGACCCAATCATGGTTTGCGAAACAAGCTGCGATGGGGGATGCTTGTTTGGGGGCATTGACAGGGGTGTCCTGCAGCATTGAACGGCAGCCATTTTGAAGATGCCCGGACTTCAACTCCCAGAACTCCCATGGCTGGCTGGGGGATTCTGGGAGTTGAAGTCCGCGCATCTTCAAAATGGCTGCCGGCGACAAATGTTATTATTACGAGAATGAGAGTTCTGTGGCTTGTTGGAGAAACTAGTTAGATTCTGGCTAAGTGGTCTTTTTTGTGACATGAAAATGACGCCATTGCTTGCAAGTTCTCGGTTCCTGTAGCTTAATATTCCTTGGTTCATTTTCTTTTCGCAGATTAAGACTGGTGCTCCTTGCCGATCCGAACGCCTAGCTAAATACAACCAACTTCTAAGGTAAAAGCTCTTTTTAATGGATAGATTTCTTCTATCCAGCATCTTCTCTTCCATCTGTGATCTGTGGCCGTAATAAAGACCCAATTGTTTTTGTTGAATTGTTCTCTAAATTCCTGGATGCCCGTAAGATTGCAAAGTTCTGTTCTATGCATCACGAGCGCTAGCAGAAGAAAAAAAATATTTTTATTTAAATATTCAACAAAATACAGAAGAAATAAAGAATTCAAAACAAGACAAAATTGAAAAAGAAAATGGAACTGTTTTTCTTTCCATCGAGTAGTATTTGCTTATTTTCTGCCTTTGATCTTTATTGTCATTGTTCTATAATTTTAAAACGGTTAAACCTAATTTAATTTGAACGTTAATGTTTATAAGTTCTTTTATTTATCAGTTGTATTCAATTGTCCCCTGCCAGAGCCCATCTTTTGAGGGAGATGGGTAGTTTAGAAATACAAAACATAAATAAATAGAAATTATTTCCCATTTTAATTTTTCCCCTTCCTGAATGTAGGCAGGTTAATGAGAATAGGAGTCCTAACAATTCCGCAGGAAGTGACGTAATGCTGGGGAATTCTGGGAGTTGAAGTCCACCTGGTTTAAACTGGCCAAGGTGGAGAAACATTGCTAAATTGTCAATGTACCTTGTTTGGGGGACTGCAATGATCCCCCCCCCACCTTATATTTTACTGGTA